GCAGACTAATTGAGTCGTAAGCAATAGATTGGACCCAGCTGATCTCGGTAATAAGGCCTTGGGTATATAAGGGACAAAAGGATGTGGCCTCCTGTAAATTGCATTTTGTATAATGAGTATGACAATTAGGAGAACATCCTATTGCTGTAGTAATGAACAACGAAATGGCACAGGGAGGTGTACATGGGCACACACTCTCAGGTGATTTGCTCAAATACATCTGTCTCTTTGTTTGTGTTAACAAGAAATAAGAGCTCAGCTTAGTGAGATGTGTTACAACATGGATGTAGTGTCTGTGATGTTATGCACAGTTTTCCACAAGGAACATTTTTGAGGCTTGAAATTGGGTTTGCTGGAATCATGTTGCAGGATGGCAGTATGATTGATTCCAATACTGATTGGAATCTGACGGGAGTAATAAAGGAATGATTATTATTATTATTTGGCACCTCTGTGTGCATACATTGCATCAAACAAGCGCTGTTCCCAGCACAGTGATGTGTGAGGGCTGATGCCAAGCCCTTGAGATGTACTGTAAATAGGACCTTCCTGAAATGGTGCTTCCACCAGCGGTACTGATAATTCCCTTTATGCTTTATAATGCTCAGTCTTTAATGTCTTGATTTTAGAACAAGGTGACTGGAGTGGTAATGTTTGCGTTGGCATTATTGTCTGAGGCATAAGCTTTGACGGCGTGTGTGGGTGCTGAAGGCAACACTGGTTTTAAGGCTGTGCTTTGACTCTGCTCCCAGTAAGTCACAGCCAGGATGCTGTTTACTGGCCATCATGGGCAATTCCAGTTGCTCTTCCATTGTGATGTTTGTGCTTTAATGTGGGAATGGCATACCTCAGCATCACACGTTCAACCCCTTCAAAGTTGTGTGGTCTTAGAAATGAACTCTCGGAGCTGACATTAGTCATAAGGTTACTGATGCCGACAAGAGTTTAGATCTACTTATGGTGCTAGAAGCTACTAAATTATGAGGGAAGGTAAGAGCTGTTACACCCATTGTCCTCACTTGGCGTATAATTGGTTCTTTAGACAGTTCAGCTCAGTCTGAAATTGCATTTTGAAGTGACAGAGCTGCAGAAGAGGCAAGGACCCTAAGATCCATAGTGAGACCTGGGTAATTATATTCGATTAATCTGCTAATTAGTTTCTTGAATAATCACCAGGGCCCAATGTGACATCTTGAAATTGCTTGTTTTCTCTGATCAGCACAAAGATATTCTGTTTGTTGTCCAGTGGCAGTAAACATACTGTAGGACAGCAGCAAATCGATGAACTGTTAAATATTCTCATTTGGTAGACATCACCGTGCATGTCAGATGTTCACATAAAGAGACTGAGCTATATTTCTGTAAATGTCAGTCAGTCACAAGCCACAGTCCTGGAAGACTATTTTTTCTAGCACCTGTTTGATGTGTGTATCTGCCCAATGTAGGCAAATAACTTCTGAGCATTGTAGATGTCATTGTCTGTTACTGGACTGCTATTTTAAACAACCACACTTCAGATGCAGCATCAGTAGTTTTACTGTCATATGTAGGGCACACAAACAGTAGCCTTGTTTTTCCAAACTTTTTTTTTTTTTTTTTGCCAGCAGCCCCGAAACCGATGTCGACATCAGCCACAGTTGCTCAGGGCAGCAGTTTTCTCAAGCTGCCTGTGGTGTCGACGCTGCAGGAAAATCTGCGCTAGATTTCTGTAGAGCACAAGAGAGGTGAAGAAAGGAACTGTGTGTGTTACAGTGAAGAATGTAGGCATTGTAGAAGCAGACGAGGAGGAGGAGGGATTGATGAGTAAGGTGAGGAAGAACGAAAAAAGGAGGGAATGCAGGAAATTTGACTCTATTGTACAGGAATGTTTTCCACTTGCTATGTAATGTGTTTGAATTGGCCTTTTCTGTCCTTCCTGCTGCATGGTGTCTTGCAAAACAATAATACGATAACAAAGCACCAAGCTGTGGTGAGAGGCCTTGGATAAGGACGGAGAGAGGAGATGCAAAACTGTATTAGCTTTTTTGTTTTCCCTCACAACTTGAATGTGGCCCTGTTAGGCCCTCGGTCAAGGTAAAAGTAAAGGAAGCATGAACCCAAACACATCTGGAGAGCCTCATACCAGAGGACAGAGAGGATGAAAAGAAAGGGAAAACCATGGGAACAGAGACAGCCGAGCCCCTAGAGGGATGCAGCGAGAGGAAGTGTGTGTCTGTGTATGTGTGCGTGCATGTTCTATACTCAGTCAGTGCTGAGTCATCGCTGGGCTGGCCAGGCAGATAGAAACAAGCTTCTGGGGGGGCCAGCTGGAGGGGCACAGGGGGACACGCACCGAGCATGCTCTGAAAAGTACAGGAAGGGAATTAGTTGTTGTGACAGGACATCCAGGAACCTAAGTGACGCAATATTTCACGATGCCAAGTTTTCGCTCCCTCATTGACGTACGCGTCCCCTGGTATGTAAAAAACTGCCATTACTTGCTGAGTGACACAATCCCTTGAATTCACAGCATTTCTTCTCTGAATGTCGTCGTTCAGGCTATGGAGAGAGAACAAGATGTTGGCTGAGAGATAACGAGACATGTTGCTCCATGTTTGGCCTGACCACAGCGATCCCCCCTCTCTATTTCTTGTGGTTTTCTGTGATCTGTTGGACCACAGTCTGTGGACCCCCCCCCCACACACACACACACCAGTGCACACACCCCCATATGCATGCACACACTCATACTTCCTGTATTTAGAATAGACCCTTCTGTGCTGCACTGGAGGAACATGGTATGTACTGTACGCACGTGTTGTACTTTGAGAATGATAAACCCTTGTTGATACTGCTGTAGCTGAAGTCTTACTGTGAGCATATTCAACGTTGTTCAGCAGCTTATTTATGGGTAGTACATGTACTGCAGCTGTTTTATAATGCATGTTGGTATCTTATAAAACCATGAAACCCATGGTTTTATAATTAAGTGAGATATTCCACCTGCTTTTCAGTCACTGCTATCACATGTAACAAATGTAACTGCAGAATTCTCTCATGCTACAGTTTATAATCAACTTTACATCTCTAAATCTACACAAACGTATTGTTTTACTACATCACAGTGTGAGTCTAGCAACTTGATGGCTGACTATAACACATTGTATCATCTGTGGGCTGTCTGCATAAACTAAGAATCTCCATTCTTGCATCATCATTGTGTTGTGTGTGTGTGTGTGGCTTTCCTCCCACTAATCTTCTGTAACTATGGGTTGAGCGTACACAGAGTCAGCAGTGTATACACACATCAGGGAACAGCAAAAGGGTGTTTGAAAAGATGAAGGACAGCGGTAGGGCTCTTATTGAGCAAGGAGGTAATCATCTTCTTTCCTGTTTTCTGTCGAACTATGTGGCTAACTCCTAAACCACCGCTGCATTTCTGTCTTATTACAAATTTAGCAGTTAGTTAACCATTATTATCTAGAGTTAGATATAAGAGCACATGCACCGTAGAAGAACAGAAGTGCTGAATGTTGTTGACTTCTCTAGTGCACAGTGATGATGGCAAAGTGGTGCTGCGACACTGCTGATGGCGCTGGGAAACTAATCAGCATACAGTGTCTCAGTATGCAGCAACAGAAGCAAGGAAGTCAACAAACGGAGTCACAGAACAGAGAATAACAAGTAGCAGACACTAAACTGTAGGAGGCCAAGCTGCCCAAGCACCGCCACCTCCATGTGCACAAGAAAAATCTTCCCATCAAAACTAGAGAGCATCCCGAGCCAAGAGTTTGATTCATACTGTCTATGTTTTGAGTCTGGGAACTCTCCCTTTGTTTTCTATCACATCTTTACTGTCTGCTTTCAAAGTGGCCAAAAATCGAAATCGTAAATGGTCACTCTAAACGCCATTTGTGAACTGTTATTCTCTTCGCTGGTCAGAAATGTAGAGCAGCAGCAGAATGGTTTTATGGGTACACAAGGCACTTCTATCAACATTTGCTGTATATTAAATGAGATCTGATCCAACTAACATGTAATGCACAGACTTCCCTGTGGCACCAGGACTGGCTTATTTTCATATTCTAAAAAGAATTTGGAGAAAGGACCATCAGTACAAGTTATAGGCTTGGTGTGAAAATGATCTTAGTACACAGGAATATTCTACGTACTTGAGATGTTTTATTAGCGTTATTAAGGCTATTGCTCGTTCCTGACAAAGAGACTAATCAAGTGAGTAAATAGGATATCCATGTAATGCTCCTGGCATAGTAAAGGGGCTTCATCTTCGGGGGGAGAAAGCAGAAGCACATTGAAATGGGTCACATGTAAACACACAGATGGCCAAGCAGGCAGTGTGGTTGGTTGAGAAACCTTCTAACTGTACTTCCTCTGTCAGGGCCTCAATCAGTGTCTGTCTGAATTTCTAATATCAGTGTAATTCAGGACTGATTCAGTCGGATTTATTGGCTCCACTCCATCTCACTCTCCTAATTTTTTCTCTTTATTTTATTCACCTTGACCTTAAATTATTTGTAAAAAAAATTCCCTAAATATATACACTTTCCATGTTTTTGTGCTTAACTGAGTAATCTTTTTTATTTCTCCCACATTTAATGGTCACCCATTGTCCTTTCAGTGAACTGTGGTTGTCCTGTCTAATAACTTACTCTGTGTATGGTTGATTGCCAGAGATTCTTTGCAGGCTTGTGTAATCCAGTTTGGGCTGTTTAAGATTGAGTGCAGATAAAATCAGACTTTTGGCTGTCCTTTCTCAGTTTTTGAATAGTTTCAAACTTTCAAGTAATTCAAAGAAATGCTGTGATTCTTTTGCCAGTTTCAACTTTAGTTCTTGGACAACATTCCACATTATCTTGATTTGCATCTAACTACATTTTTGTCTCTTCTTTGTTTGTCCCTCGGTCATCTTTTTTCCTCTTTTCTTAACTCTCTATCCCTCCGCCCCTTTGCCCCCACTTCCTGTCCCAACATTTCTCTTTTCCACATTCTTTATCTCGCAGCAGTGATTCTCAGCCGGTTTGGTTACTGCAATGAATGGTAACACTATCCATCCAGTCAACACCACCACAACAGCAGCAGGAGGAGGCCCGGGCGTGGCAACCCCCCTGAGAGGCTGGAGGGAGTTCTGCGAGCTCCACGCCATCGCCACAGCCCGGCAGCTGGCCGGACACTACCGGAACTTCACTAGGGAGTGGCCACAACATGACGTGCTCCCACCAGAGACGTTTTCCAAGCAGTTCAGCGACCTCTTCCACCAGCACTTCTGCTGCGAGGTCAACAAAGATGGCACACCACTCAGCCAAAACACATGCTCTACAGCAACAAGTGTTTCCTCCACATCTCCAGTGGCCCCGCCCCTTCCATCACAGGCTGTGATTGGTCAATTGCGGATCACATCATTGTCTGGGGTGCAGGACTATCGGGAAGCAGGGCGTCCAAGTGGAGGAGCTGCTCTGTTTACTGTGGTGTCACCAAAGGTAGAGCCGGTGGTGGTGAGTCGGGAACAGGAGCAGCCGCTGCAGTGTGCTGCGGGAAACTCTTCAGGTAACCCAGTGGTGCTTAAAGGGTCAACCCGCAGCGTCTGTAGTGGGTCTGTGTGGCTTCGTAGCCGTAGCAATGAGGAGATCTCTGGCGCCGATCATCGTCAGGTTTCTGAACGGTACTCGTCTGACTCCTCAGCCTCAAATCCTGGGCATGCTGACATCACACACTTTTCTGTCAGTCATATTCAGCAGACCGTAAGACGGATTTTCAAGAAGCGGCCCCTCCCCAGCCCTCCCTCATCCCAGGACCTGTCTTCTAGCAACTCCACCACCAACAATCCCTCAAATAATGGTGACAGAGCAAGTGGGATTTTCTCCACAAATGAGGAGGTGTCTTCCTCCTCTTCTTCCACTCACTCTTCTTCTTGTCAGAACTCTGAAGCCACGTCCCCGGCCACTTCACATCTGTCTATGGCCCGTGTAGCTTCTCACTTCCTGGGTCCTTTCCGTTGGCTACGTGGTAGAAGCATGAGACAGAGGAGGCCAGAATTGAGTGACTGCTGTAAAGAAGGCCAACTGAGGTACTTGCTGGTGGATGACACTATCTCAGACTCTCAGCCCCGCTGGCAACGCTGCCGCCTGCAGGTCAGGAGGATCAGGGATGCTCAAGGTGGAGGAAGAGGAGGAGGGGAGATGTACCAGTTGGAGCTCTATGATCCACCAAAGGTAGAAACACAGGCTCATGTACACATTTTACATCCGTTATATAAATTGCATACTACTTGTGGGATCCTGCACATTCATTACACTGGCTTTCTGTAGTTCTTTTTGGATACTTATCTAAATACCGGCTTTTACAAAGAAACAAACTATGATACCTCAGAATTGCTGTCTAAAATGGCTCAGGATATTGGTTTGGGAGAGTATGTTGACTGGTCTTCACACCCAGTTCTGTGGGAATTGACAGCTGATGAATACAAAAGATGCACAACTATAATGGAGAGGAGTGAGATGGGGATTATCTCTCATAAAACACAGGCCGCAGTAACCGTTGTCTGAATGTTAAGCCACTCACTGTGTAGGTAGGTAGGTAGTTTGTCCCTGAGACACAAGTAAAAAAAGATACATAGAAACAAGACAAAAAAGAATAGTATTGATAGGAATCATGAAAACAACCAGGAAATCAAGAACAATCGAATATTACTTTCACAATTAATCCCACAATGAGGGAAAGAAACCTCTGTTTCAGCCATAATAATCCCTGAGGAACTACTCAAAAATACCTAAAGCAGGGCAATGCACAGTATTTGAGAGAGATCAGAAACAAGATATTACACATGAGCCTATTTACAATGCATTTCACCCCCAGGAGCTGAATATTGCACCTCAGTCGACTATTGCATAGTCCTTCATAATTTCGCCTATTTTGTCACTGCAGTGATGTGTTGTACAGTCTGATGGCTGTGGGGAGTTACCTGCAGTAACGCTCCTTCTTGCACTGGGGATGTAACAGTCTTGTGCTGAAAGAACTGTTCAGAGCCTCCACTGTGTGGTGCAGGGGATTGTAGGGGGATTGCATGATGGGTTTTAGTTTCACCAGCATCCTTCTGTCCGCCACCTTCTCGATGGGAGGGTGTTGATGAGAAAGAAGCCGCTGAACTGAATGAGCGGCTACTGCTCAAAATCATTGTGCATGCTGCACTCACTCCAGCCGGACACGGCTGAGGGTGAGCAGCTGATCTTGAGAGTAAACAATGGGGCCACTGCTCCCGGAGTCCCCCGACAGTGTGAAATATGTACATCCCAGGACACTAATATTCCATCCTATATAACATCCATGCTGGAACTGTTTTTGCCATAGAATCAAAATATTCCTTAAATCGCCGATTGATGATGAGGTCAGAGAAGTTGGAGACAGCGTGTGAGTTTTAGAGGTGCTGTCAGGAGTGTTTTTCTTATGTTTTATAACCCTGCCGCCTTCCTGACTTTATGTGTAGGTAGTCTAAATAACACGTAATTCCTGCTCTATACTTGGTGCAAAGTTAAGAGAGTGTGGTCATCTCACTCAGAAAGAAAGCAAGTAAATCTATTTTAAAAAATGTTGAACTTTTCCTTTAACGAATGTTTCTAGGGGCAACAGTGTGGTTTTCAGTGCAGCAACACTTCTTTTTTTTGCTCTGGATGTGGCTGCAGGATGTATTCAGATGATTTCGTATTGAAATTTAAATTCAGGGTTAAAGCTAGTGTGATCAGTTTTATCTCAGTCTGTAACTTATGTTCAGCAACACTGCACTGACTGCAAGTCAAGTGTCTTACATTTTCCTCAGTTTTTCTCAGTACAGCAAATGCCTGATTTCATGGGACTGTTTCACAACAATGTATGTCTTTAGTTTGTGAAAATGTTTTTTTTAGCTGCTTCTCAGAACTCTGCAGGGCACTGAAACAGCTGGCAGGTTCCTCAACTGGCGTTTCATATCTGTGCAAGATTTTGTGCCTTTACTGGGTTGGTTAATGTAGGTTTACCAGGTTGTATCACAAATGCATGTACATAGTCTAAATTAATACATGCAAAAACAAACACACAGAGGCACAGTCATTTCCTGTTTCCAGCTGTTTTAGTCACAGGGGGTCCCCCCTCCCTTTTTTCATATCTGCTCTGCATATTTTCTCTGCCTGTGTGTGTTTGTTTGCTTTTACAGACAATATTTTGCATCTAAGAAAGTGCACAGTTTGGTGCACAGTTCATCACATTACAGGAGAAGGCAGATGCTGTGGTGAATTTTAGGCTTTGCCTTTTATAAGTGCTTTTTTAAGCCCTCAGTTACTGATTTGTTTTTCATTTGCAGCTAGAGGGTGTGTTGTGATGTTAAGCAGGTTTTGGTGTTAACCAAGCTGGAAAAGTGAGTGATATTACTAGTCAAGTCACAGCTTAGACTAATGGAAAATAATCAGAGCATCTGTTTTTGCCTTACACGCAGCATAGCAGTGTCGGTGTTAAAACTCCATCACATTGATAACCTTTGAAGATAGGGTATGAGATTCAGTCATGGCCAAAATCCTTGGCACCCCGCCAGGTAGCGCACCACTTCTCCCAGAAGATTGTTGCAATCACAAATTTGGTATTCCAGTGTTTGTTTCTTTTGTTTGCATTGGGACAAAAAAGCAGAGAAACAAAAAACCAAATCTGATAGAACTCCAAAAATGGACTGGGCAGGATTATTGACACCCTCAACTTAATATATGGTAGCACTCACACCCTTTGGACAACATAACTGAAATCATTCACTTCCTGTTAACCATCAGTGAGTTTCTTCCATCTCTCTACTGGGATTTTGGACCACTCTTCTTTTGCCAACTGCTCCAGGTTTCTCAGATTTGAAGGGTTCCTTGTCCCAGCTGCTGTTTTGAGATCTCTCCACGGGTGCTCTATGGGATTTAGATCTGGACTCATTGCTGACCATTTCAGAATTCTCCAGCACATTGTCTGAAACCATTTCTGGGTGATGTTTGAAGTCTGCTTTCATGCTGCCATACACACAGTCAAGACATCCAATGCCTGAAGCTGCAAAGCAACCCCAAAACATCAAACTCCACCGTGTTTGACTGTAGGGGCAACGTTCTTTTATTTGAAGGCCTCATTTCCTTTTCTGAACACAATAGAATGATTTGCTGGACCAAAAAGCTCCTATTTTGGTCTCCTCTGTCCACAAGACATTTTCCCAGAAGGACTGTGGCTTCCTCGGGTAAGGTGTGCCAAACTCCAATCTGGCTTTTTTATGTTTCTCTATCAGCAGTGGGGTCCCCCAGGGTCTCCTACCATAGTGTCCCTATTCATTCAGATGGCGACAGATAGTGTGAGCTGACACTGTTGCACCCTGTGCCTGCAGGTCAGCTTGAATCTGTTTGGAAGCTGATCGAGGTTCTTCATCCACCATTTGAACAATCCGTTGTTGCAATTTGTTGTTTTTCTCTTTGTGGATAGTGTTACCAATTTGTGATTGCAGCAGCTTTCTGGGAGAAGTGGTGTATTCTCTGAGAGAAATGCAGGGGTGTCAGTATTTTTGGCCATGGATTTGGAATGGATTTAGTGTCGGTATTAGAAGTAAAGATTTAATCTCACTGCCTCACAGATTACTGTCATGCATTTCTTTAGAATAGTCATTCTTGTGCATTAATATAGCTCTGCATCCATCCCAGTGTGGTATTTTGTGCTCAATTCAAAGAATCTGCAAAATTCACATCTTTTACTCTCTGATGAGTAGATATACCTCCTACACAGTTTCCTGTTTGTTTGTCTCAGCCAGTTATAACTTTTCTCCTTATTACCTGCTAATTAATACATCAACTCGACAGTCAGAAAATGTGAAATTGCCATATTTACAATATATTTCTTATTTTAGTAATTTGCATTTTTCAGTTAGAAACAAGAATGATCAACTTGCCCTTCGCCCGACCTTCTGTGACAGCTTATCACAGCACAGCAGGTTGTCTTGTTTTCTAATGTGCATGCTTGGCTTCTTACACTAGACCTCATGGCATAAAACCCTGCAATATTTCCAGATGGAGCTGCAAGGCTGGTCTCCCAAGATCCTCAGAGCAGCTCAGTCGACTGCTGTCCTGGCCACCACCTTTTTTGTAAGGTCACTGGAAGCAGACTTCACCCTCTTCAGGGTGTGTGCAACTGTGCACTCTGGCACAAACACAGATCAATGCAAAAGATGTTTTATGCATCTGTTTTTGAGCCCAGATGTCTGCTTTGAGTGTTTTATATTTAGCAGCCTTCAGCTTTTCAGGCAGCTGTAGCCCTAACCATGTGCATGAGGTAATTCAGTTGATGAGAGAGCCAGTGCGTTGTGTGTGTGTGTGTGTGTGTGTGCAATCTTAGCAGAGTTAAGGCCCTGAGAATGGCCTTAAAAGGAAGGAGAGCTGTGGACTAGCATACACACATTTTAACATAAACTAGACAAAGCACATGCATTCAAGAGGAATCATTAGAACAAACAAATTTGTAATATGTATGTTTGGGGGGTTAAATGTTGTGTTGATACTTTTTTTCTTTTCTTTGTGGTTGTAAAATCAGTACTCACATCAGTGGGGTTTATTTATTTATTTTGGTGCATGGATTTAAGTGTCAGATCAGTGAGTCTCAAGGACCGGCTGGACTGCACCTCCTAAGCATGTAGTGCATCAGCTATGATGTGCAAACCTGTGCACTGTGGTGTGTGGACGCTGACCACTGCGCCTCAACTTGTATTTTGCTTTGACATTCTGGATTACAACAACAAATCAGTTCTTTTCTTGTTATTATCAAGCTAAATTAATCCACTGCCAAATAGGAGCGTGTTATAACTAGAATGTGTGATTTTATTGGGGTACAGCAGATAAATGCTGGGGCATGTGCCCCAGTAAAAGGTGAAGGTAAGTAAAATTACACCAGTGGCACCCCCTCAGAGCAATGCTGGTGGTCACTGTGTGGAAAGTTGGCATGGGAGGTTGTTGGTGAGAAAGAGGCCGCTGAACCGAATGAGCAGCTACTGATCAAAGTCAGTGTGCATGCTGCACTCACTCCAAGCTGTTCAGAGCTCATGTTATTATGAGAATATACAGTATGTTGTTATAATGACAGAAGGCAGTATGTCATAATGAGGAAATAGTGTCATAATAATGTGAGAAATATTTTAATCTGAAAATATCTAGTAAAAATGGGTACGTATCTTGTTATAATG